CCAAATCAGAGGATAAAGATTAGGGGTTTAGGAGTAAGAGGAAGGATAAGGTTAGGGATTAGCGGGCTAGTTAGGGTTAGCAGGTTAAGGGTCCGTGTTGGAGTAAGGGTAGGGGGGTTAGATGGTTAGGGGTGTGGTACGGGTTCAGCGTTAGGGTTGGGACATTAGGAGCATAGGAATTTAGAGTTGAGATGAAGGTAGGAGTGGGGTTAGGGAGGTCTGGGGATTGGAGGTAGCGGTAGGAGTAAGATTAAGGATTTAGGAATAGGGTTAGAGGGTTTGGGCTGGAAGAGATTAGGATTGGGGGGACTGTAAGAGGTTAGGATTGGGGTGAAGGTAGGAGTAGGGGATTAGGATTAGGGGGTCTTCCCAACTACTGGCAATGGTGGGGTGGGGTGGGGGATCTTCACCCACCCTCTGCCTTTCCTTCCCAGAATGCCCTGGGACTCAGGTCTACCGCAATTGTGCCAACGCCTGTCCATACACCTGCTCCGATCTGCGGCCAGAAGCTCAGTGCATGCAAGAGGACTGCCAACCTGGATGCATTTGCCCACCTGGCCAGGTAAGTGTCTTCCTCCTCCACCCAAACGGCCTCACCCCTCTCTATCTACCACCAAGTTTCTCCACCTTAGACGCTTTAAGTGGTCTGGACTTCAACTCCCAGAATTCCCCCAGCCTCCAATGCCAGCTAGAGAACTCTGGGAGTTGAAGTCCGGAGCTCTTAAAATGGCTGCTAGTTGAGAAACACTGCTCAACCAGGGAATTCTGGGAGTTGAAGTCCCAGAAACCCCAGCCTGCTATCCCACAGGTGATGCAAGGCATGCTGTGTGTCCCCGTGGAAGAGTGCCGGTGCGTGATCGGCCAGGCGCCTGCTGTGCCCTGGGCTGCCAACTTATCTGAGGAAGAGCGCACCCGGGAGCATGGGCCTGGCAGTACTTTCCAACATGAATGCAACACCTGGTGAGTGACCAATTGGAAGTGGCGAATGGAGACCCCCCCCCCTCAAATGGCACCCCAGCTTTGCACAGGGTCCTGGACTCACCCAGCCTTCCCCAACCTGGTGCCCACTAGCCTATCGTTCTGCCATCGAGCCCCACATTTTCGTGAAACATCAGTGCAACGAATTCTGTCCCATTTTACGGCTTCTCCTGCCACTGTTGTTAAGGGATTCCCTATAGATTTAAGGGAGTCACGTGGTTGGGAAGTCCATCCGTCTTCCCCATTGCCTTTGCTTATCATGAAAGGAGAATCACGTATACCCTGGGATGCAGCAAACCGTCGTAAACATGAGTCCATGGCCAAGCGTCAAAGTGTTGATGCTGCAGCGGTCGTAAGTGTGAGGAACAGTCACTTTTCCATGCCATTGTCCCGTTGAATGGCCACTATATCAACTATTATAAGCTGAGGCCTGCCTGCATTCTCTCCTTGCTTCACAACATCCTGCGAGGGAGGCTGGGATAAGAAAGAGTGACTCCTTCATGAGGACTAGAACCCTGCGGTGACATGTTCTTCTCTTCTTTGCCCCTGCAGTGTCTGCCAGAGGGGCGTCTTCATCTGCACCCAGGAGATCTGTGATGGTAAGAGAGTTCAAAGGCGAGGAGGAGGAGGGGGGGGTCTCTATGGGGCAGCCGGAGTGAAAACAGAGTTTTCAGTGTGGCCATGGTTTCGTGTCTGGAATGTTGGGCTCTCTGTGTTGCCACTGGGCATGCGCAGAGAGCACACCTCTCATCGGTAGGAGGTTGAACTAGATGACCTCTAAGGTCCCTTCCAACACTTCTGTAAAGGTCTCCTGCTCGAGCAGGGGGTTGGACTAGATGACCTCCCAGGTCCCTTCCTTTTCTCTGTAATATTGCAAGGCTCTCCTGCTTCAGGAGGGGTTGGACTAGAACAGTGGTCCTCAACCTGTGGGTCGGGACCCCTTTGGGGGTCGAACGACCCTTTCACAGGGGTCGCCTAANTACCCAGTTCCTGCAACCGTTCTTCCTATGTTTTAGCCTCCAGTCCCCTAATCCTCTTGGTTGCTCTTCTCTGCGCTCTTTCTAGAGTCTCCACATCTTTTCTACATCATGGCGACCAAAACTGAATACCGTTTTCCGACTGTGCGCTTAGTGGGGAGGGAACATGGGGTGCAGCCACCACTCTGGTGGGGACCTCTGGCTGTTACACCCAAGGTGGGAGGTAGTCCTAGGCTTACGACCATTTCTTTAGTGACCGCTGGAACGGTGCTGAAAAAGGGACTGACGACATTGTTTCACACTTAGGACCGGTCTACTACAATCGTGTGATAAAAAATTCCGACTGATATAAGATGGTCACAGCGCTCCAAGGGCCCCGCGATCCTCCTTGGCGATCTTCCGACCGGCAGAGTCCAGAGTCACTTAACGACCATGTGACTAACTTAAGAACAGCAGTGATTCACTTAACAATAGTGGCAAGGGAGGTTGGGTAAAACAGGGCCAAACTTGTTGGAGAGCTGTCTCGCTTAGCAATGGAAACTTTGGGCTCCACGGTGGTCATAAAGCAAGGACTTCCTTCCTTCCTTTTCTTATTTCCTTCCTCTGTCCTTCCTTCCTTCCTCCCTCCCTCCCTCTTAGTTCTTCGTTCCCTCCTTCCTCCCTCTGTCTTTCCTTCCTCCCTCCCTCCCTCTTAGTTCTTCATTCCCTCCTTCCTTCTTCTATCATTCCTTCCTCCTTCCCTCTTAGTTCTCTTTCCCTCCTTCCTTCCTCTGTCCTCCCTTCCTTTTCTTTCTCCTCCATCTCCTCCTTCCTTCCTTCCTCTCAGTCCTTCCTTCCTTCTTTCATCTCTGTTCTTCCTCCCTTCCTTCTCAATTTCTTCCCTCTCTGTCCTTCCTTCCCTCCTTCTTTCCTTCCTCTCTACCTCCCTCCCTCCCTCTTCTTCAGGTAGCCCTCAACTTACTACCCTTCTCCTCCCATCTCCCCACAGCTGGCTGCATGTTCAGTGACTGGACTGCCTGGAGCCCCTGCAGCGCCAGCTGTGGAGGAGGAGTCTCCGAGAGGCACCGCCAGCTGCTCCCCCCTCTGAGGGAGCCCTGCCTTTCCCCTCTCCTGCAGCGCCGCATATGCAACTTGCAGAATTGCACACTGGGTGAGTCCCTACACAAACGTAGCTGGGTGCGATGTCCAGACCAGGAACCTGTACAAGGACAGTAAGGATTAGGGGTTAGAGCAGACAGCAGACCTGAGTATATTACACCCCTACATCTGGCCCTTTGGAATGAGATCAAATTGGAACATACATAATTAATTAGCAGAGTGCAAGAGAAGAAGCCAAATCTGATTCGACTCTGCACAGTTGTTTTGCTCTCCTTCGGTCAACCAGTGCCCTCTGGTGGCCCTCTTGGGAATATTAATTATCCACCCCCAAATCAGAGGATAAAGATTAGGGGTTTAGGAGTAAGAGGAAGGATAAGGTTAGGGATTAGCGGGCTAGTTAGGGT